GATCTTCTGAAAATATATGTTAAGTCCAGTTATTGCACTATACACCTTAAACTTACACAGTGCTGTGTCAATTATATCTCAATAAAGCTAGAAGACAAAATAAAAAACAAGGCTATATGATTACCAAAAGAAATATACAGATTTATATAATCATGAAAAAAGGAAGGATTGCTAAGCATAATCCCCCAAAAGTGGAAACCATACAGACAGATTTGGTTACTTAAAAGCTAAAATTTTCCAAAAAAGAAATGAGAAAACAAACTGTTTTGAAGGAACATGTATGATCAATGACATGAGGGAAAACATGCAACCTTGCTAGCGATTTAACGTTTTTAATGTGACACCTGGGCCCATCAAATGAATGATTCAATGACTTCAACTGTGAAGAGCTGGTGCGGGTATGGGGGAGCGGGGACTCCAAGCACTGCTGGCAGAAGTGTGAACAGCTCCAAGTATATTTGGAGGTCAACTCAGAAGTGTGTATCAAAGCCTCAGTAGTGTGCAAGCCCGAAACATGACAGGCCACTTCCAAGTAAGAACAAATGAGCAAAAGTGTAGCTGCAAAAATGTCCATTTCAGTGCTTTCTGAAGAAAGAAAAACTGAAAACAATTTTCCATGGGCCATGGAACATCCACAGACAGGAATGTTTTGCAGTCCTTAAAACTGCTCTAGAAGACAGGACTCGGTTGTAGAAAAACATTCACTGATTAAGTCAAAGAGCAGTTAACAGTATGTGTGAGGGGATTCCACTTCTGTAAAAACCCTACATGTGTGTGATACACACACACACGAGCATCTGAAGGGGTGGGAAGTGGCCACTGTGGAGGTTTGGAACTGTATGTGTTTAAATTTTTTCTTTGTTTTCCTGTTTTCCGCTTTGTTTTATAATGAAGAAAAAAATTTAATTATTTTAAAATAAGGCTAAAAACTGTATCTATACTATGACCTTAACCCTATTTAATCTATGTAAAAGAGGGAGAAATGTCTGCCAAACCATTAGCTCTAATTTCTGAATGGTAAAATGATGAATTTTCGTGTATGCCTAATATTCCATATTAAGCATATGTTCCTTTTATACCGGGGGAGGGAGGGAATGCTGTTCCTAAAAGAAGGTAAAAAATTACTTTCCCATCTTAAATCTTGAGCTAGAATGCCTTTTCCCCACCCCTCTTCCCCAAGGGGAGAAATAACAACTGGAAGGATCGAACGTCCTTTAAAAAAAAAAAGGCTTTTGCTGACATCATCTGACTGTAACTTCATTAAAAACCTGTTCAATGTGTTTTTAAGGGACCAGAGTCACTCCAGCTTTTACTGACTGTTCAGAAGTTGATATGAGCCAACAGGTAAGTGGCCCAGTCAGGTGCCCTGCTGGTGGGGCAGGTATGATGCCTGAGGGCCATGTGGGTGGAGTCCAGTGATTAATTTCCTCTCACTTGTCCCAGGCAGGGAGGCTCTCTTATACTAGCTGATGGTGGTAGAAATAGTACCAGGAAAGGTGTTGCTGTTTTAAAAAAACACATTAAGTGGCTCACTATTTAAGACTTCGGTGTACATGAGGACACAACTCCTTGGCGGCAGACACAGGCCATAGCAGCTTGTTTCCCATCTCATCTAGCGCCTTAGTTGTCACCTACCTCCGACTGTTGCTCTGGCAGCTTCATATTGTCAAAAATCCTGAACACGATTCTGAACAGGTCCTGCCACCAGTGCTTTTCAAAGGTGTGGCCATAGCTCTTCATGATCTCGAACATGACTGTGAGTCCTCTGGAGAAAACAAGGCCAGTGTGCAAGAGGGCATGGGGAGGGGGACGAGCACAGCCGAGAAGGGGGCGGAGGAGCATGGGGTCAGGGGAGCAGGAGGCCGAGGCTCATTCAGTGACGGGAGGGTGCCACATGGGGCATGGTTACCTTGTCCGCACATCGAGCTTGCACCTATTGATGATGCAGGAGAGCTCAAACAGGATGGGGAACCAGCCTCGGACCCAGACCCTGTCACCAGGAGCCACGTTCATGTCATCACTTGTGTACTCTTGTAGCACCTACAATGAGAGTCACCGTGGACGTGGACTAGCAAGCAAAAGGAAGGAGCTGAAAGGGAACTACACAGACAAGAAGGCCCCACATGACCATTCAGCCAGGGATGGTTCAGTATCTTTGGTCCTTCTAAAATGTTACTACAGTGCCTAAAATAACAGCAGCAGCAGCAGCAGCTACTACTCATGAGTGCTTGCTATGGGCCAGGAACTGTGAAGGTGCTCTACATGGACTTTCAATTCTCCCAATGATTCCAAGAGGCAGGTAGAAATAGTGGTCCCATTCTACAGGTGCATCAACTGAGGCACTAAGGGGTTAAGTAAGCTGCCCAAGATCATGCAGTTATGACCTGGCAGTCTTTCCACAGTCTAGATGTGAAGACCTAGCCAACATTTTGAGCCCTCTGCTCTGTAACCGCTCTTGAAGTAGTACTGTCTGTTGTAATGGAATTTCTTTATCAGCTCTGGTTATCTAACATTTGGGGATTTCTCTGTGCTTCAGGTACCTCCCCTGCACAATGGGGAAATAGTTACCTATTGTATAGGTCTGCTATGGGGACTGAATAAATCAACACACAGACAACACCTGGCATGGTGCCTGATATGTAGTAAGTGCTCAGCCAACCGTGGCTCTCATTTTCCTCGTATGTTAATGAGCTGTTATGGGGGGACCACATGTATCACAGGTGTTTAGAGTTCTGTGATGAATGCTTAAGAGATCTGTGTAGGCCACCAGAGTTCAGTTGTGCTTGTTTCCACTCAATTTTCTGGTTTTGAGACTGTCATTTAAACCTAGCAGGCTTCTTCAGATAGGTGGCACATAACAGAAAAATGCCAAACACTTCCAGGAGGAAAGAAAAGGTGCTTTTTCAATGTGATTTCTCAGGCACGTCTCTATGGCATAACGTCATTTCCTAAAAGAGAGACCTGTTTTCTTTCAAATAAAAGGTCTAGCTTCTTCAGCTTTGCCAAAACTCAAAGCCAAAATACTATTATTATCTACAAAACAATTAGTAAGATACGATATAAAAGTTCAGTTGACTAAAATAACTTCAAACATACAAAATACAGAGAAGGTATAACCCTGCAGTGGCAGCATTTTGAAATAAACACCTGGTTTAGGCAAACACGCATTTCTCAGAGTAGCTGGAACGGCCTTTGTCGGCAGGAAGGGCTGCGGCCCCACGACTGCTTTCCCTCACCACCCACTCCACGTGAGTGAGGAAGGAAAAGCGTACCCGAGGCCTCTCGGAGACATATTTCGCGCAGAAGCGGATGAGGCGGATGGCTTCCATGCTGGTGTCAGGGAAAGCGGCGTTGCAGGCGAACTCTGACAGGCACTTCACCGCGTCCTGGAAGGAATCGATGGCTGCAGGGAAATGGTGCTGGAAAATCGTCGCTGGGGAGACAAAGGAATAAATTTTAAAAGTAATAATAAGGCCAGGATTTAGAAATGGGGATTAGACACATACACACACCCCAGAGAGGATTTCTTTTGTGAAAGTCTAAGCAAAGCATGTTACCCTTCTGAAAGCTAATGCTTCTTAGTAAATTATTCAGGATTAAGTAAGTGCATTGAGTACAGTTTGGGCTAAAGTGTTTCCTGAGCTCAAGCAACAATGTAAAGACCCAAACAGTCACTCATTCAATAAACACTGAGTGCCAACTAAGTGCAAAGCATGGTTATGGGCCCTGCAGACACAGAGATGACGAACCAAACTTCCTGCTCTTCTGATGCTCGTGCCCCAGTGAGTGAGACAGAAAACAATCACCTAAGTCAGTACACGTGTAAGATAGTCTTGGGTGGGGTGCATTCTGGCCAAGGTGCAGAAGTTTAGAGGGGCTGTCAGGCTGATGGTCAGGGAAGGCCTCTTCAGAGGTCCTGAGAAGTATTCCCTAAGGAAGTGAGAGAGGCTGAATCTTGAGAAAACTAAGTTGCACCAGGGTGCCCAGGTGTCCTTTTAACTTGAGCCGTTTTGGAGGGCATCTGGAGGAACTAACGCAAGATACCGTCACTGATCTGTGAGTGAAGCTGGCGTGAGGGGTCTGCCGGACTGATACTGGGCCCTGAGCAAGGCTCTGACCCTGCTCTGTGATCCTGAGCACATCCCTTAGTTCTCTGGTTGTTTCCTCCCTAAGACCACACCTCACACTACCATGCTGTATAGAATTTTGTGAAGATGAAGGTGCTCAATGAGCTAAAGGTGAAAAGCAATTTAGAAGCCTAAGGTTTTGTACACCCTACAAATATCACATAAGAGAAATACATGAGTAGCAAGAAGTTTACAAAAAGTTAAAAGACCTCAAAAAAGACGAAAGCTAACCGAATGCCTTACAATTTCCACAAAGACCAAGAGTAGTAAACATGTTGTTACATGAGCACAGGCAGGCCCAGAAACTTCAGGTCGGGCCAGAGGGGAGGGTCATGGCACCAGCTCTGGGCTGGACTGCCCGGTGTAAAGCTGCTGCACCAGATCCGAGCTGCGTGACCTCAGCATGTTGTTGTTCTACTTTATTTTTTGGTGCCGTGGGGTCCTCTTCAGTAAAATGGGGTAAAACAATGGGACAGTCACTTCCTGGTACTTATGTTACTTTCTATAAAGTGGCTGTGAACACTGAATTGGCAAATACTGACCCACCGCTCCTAGGAGAAGCACAGGGTTAGGTTCCTGTGAGTCTCTGGCCATAGCATTTCCATCAACAGATCAATACATAAACTTGCTTTCTGTTTTTATCTAAAGACATCGTGTTTAATATATATTTTTGATTAGTTAACAATGAACTTACAGCCAACAAAAGCACTGTAACTCATGCCAGAATGAAGTTTACCTAAAACATAGTTTTTCCACAAGGCACAACACAGCCTTCCTGTGCTCAGGGACACTGGACAGCACGTTAGCACCAAGCTTCAGTGCCATTTTATTTACTTATGTAGTTTTTACATTTTTAGTTATCGATCTGTTTTTTAGGGGAGAGCGTGAACACAGTCCCCCACTACCACAAATCACGCAGTGAGTTTCCCACGTTTGGGGAAGTCGCAGGGGTCAGCACATCTGGAGCACAATGGGTGAGCCTGGCCCTGGGAAAACCACCTGCGTGATCAGTTTCTCCCCTGCCAGGGAAGTATGATATTTATTTTAGAGAAACATGGATCTGTTGCCCCACTCACTTATGCATTCTTTGGTTGACTCTTGTATGTGCCCTGACTGGGGAACGAACCTGCAACTTTGGCATACTGGTACGATGCTCTTACCAACTGAGTTGCATGGCTAGGGCTTCAAGGCCATTTTAAATGGCAAAGTCACCAACAATAAGACAAAAATGCAAAAAAACGAGGCAGTAAATACACCAGGAAAAGGACACCTGTTTATTTTCGGTAAAAGAGCTGAAACAAGAAGGCAGAGCATTGCCTTGTTCAATGAGCTGGGAACGCACACCTTGGGTAACTCAAGTATTTTGCTGTTCTGTGCATGTCCACAGATGACCACAAAAGTGTCGGGAATAGCCCTGGCTGGTGTGGCTCAGTGGACTGAGTGCTGGACTGCGAAGCAAAGGGTCGCTGGTTTGATTCCCAGTCAGGGCACATGCCTGGGTTGCAGGCCGGGTCCTTATGAGGGGGCGTGTGATAGGCAATCACACACGGATGTTTCACTCCCTCTTGTTCTCCCTCCCTTCCCTTCTCTCTAAAAGTAAATAAAATCTTTTTTAAAAAAGTACTGGGAATATTGGTTATGGGGGTACGTAAAAATTTTAGCAATAGGTGAATTCACAAACATGGAATCAGTGAATAATGAGGGTTGACAGGTTCCTTCACAGGGCTACTATGCACTTGACTAAGCACGTGTCAAAACTCAGAACATCACCCGGCACATTATTATGTCACAGTATAGCTAAACCAAGGAAGCCCTTTTTGGGGAGTAAATAGGAGATAAAGGGTCGCTGTTCTAGACTTGCAGGTGGGATGTTACGAAGCAGCGGAGCCACTTACTGACAATGTGGCCTGTGGTCTGGAAGGCCAGCTCCACGATGTTGCCATCGCGGTCCGAGGCTGCCTGGTGGAACACGGCGAAGATGTTCTTCCAGCCTGAGCGGATGCTGGCCGCCTGGGAGCTCACCATCTGGGCGATGCAGCGGATCACCATGTCCCGGATTGTGGGCGACCTGAGGGGGAATGGGGCGGCGGGAAGGCATTCAAACACAGCTCATCACACAGAAGCAGCACTTCAAAAAATCTCTCTAAAGCACCCAGTAATCCACTTTCTGTTAAAAAAAATCAGACACAGCATCTGACCAAAGTGTGGTCCTGAACATATCCTCTGGACTGACTTCTGACTAACAGGAGGAACTATGGATGACGAGTGGAAAGCAGCCTCGCAGGGTGACCGGCCATTAACGCCTAGAGGGGCAGGTCGTGGCAAGTGGCCACAGCCCAGCAGGAGCTGGCTGTTGTTTCTGTGCAGCCAGGTTAACACACCTTTGAAATACACAATCTTGTTGACTGTCCTGCAATCCAACCCCTGCCTTGCTCTTTCCCATTGCCATGTAATGTTCTTTACGTTCCCTTCTTAATTTCATATGCACACAAGCTACAAAACCACTATTCTCCAGAGCATTTGAGACTTGCTCCCTGGCAAACGTGGGCAGTTGGCCTCAAATAAACTTCTCATACAAATTAAAAAAATATTAGAGCCAATTAAAAAAAATACAATGACCCCTGTGGCAGACAGCCAGTGGCCTACGGAGCAGCTGTCCTCCCACCTCCTCGGTAACAGAAACTCGTGGACTTCATCCAGGCAGCAGCTCGCCCACCCGCAGGAAAGGGACTGCCCACGGTCTAAAACAGCACGGCGATCGTGCACACACACCAGGTCTCCGACAGCCCAGCCTCCCTTACGCTAGGGGACCTGGCATGACCTGCTCTAACCAGATGTCAGAGAAAAACTACAGGAGTCGGGAGAAGTTTCTGGGAAGGTTTAACTTTTGTCTTAAAAGGAGTAGACATGGCAGGCTCTGCCCTTTTTCCTCTGATTTTGCTTCTGAACACTGCATAACAGCTGAGCTGGAGCTTCAGTCCTACAGTCAGAAAACAATAGGCTCGAAGACGAAAAGTGACCCTGTGGATGGCCAAAGAAATGGGAAGAACCTGGGTCCTTGGTGACAATCTGGGCTATGAAACCAAAGATGGACTGCCTGCCCCTGACTCATTAAGTAAACAACACAGAGCCTTGTGGTTTAGGCCATTGTTGGTTGGCTTTTCTGGCCTAAAACATTTAGACTAACACACTCATAATTCTGCCACCCACGGATAACCATTCCTAAATTCGTAGTGTATCTATCTCCCCTTAGATGTTTGGGCAGGGATGTACATGTATGGCAAGCACACTTACATGGATGGAAGTACACACACACACACGCACACACAGTCTTTTTGGCAGGGGTTGGAGGAGAAAGGAAAGGTTTATTGACGTAGAAGGCCCAGCTCGAGAAGACGAGAGAATTAATTCTCAAACCCATCTTCAGGGAGCCTGGAATACAGGTGTTAGATGCAATATTTTAAATTTAATTATAAAACAAAAATGGAGATAGAAAAAATGGCCCATTTTCTGAAGCCACTTCTAGACTCAACACGGTGCTACCTGGGTATAACAGACTAGCATGTATGTCTTGCAACCTCCCAAGGCGCACGCACTTACATGGTGCCCTCCATTATCTTACAGAGAGCAGGAAGCAAGGCCACACAAACCCATGGCTTCTACAGCACTGGCTCTGAGAGCACCATGGCTTTTGGACTGCAGACTGCACCTGCTTGTAATCTGGCTTAGGACAACATTCATGTCTGTCTGCTGGCCCCAGACTAAATGATCATAGAAACGTCATTTAGAGAAGGTAAGGAGAAAATCACAACAGTTAAAAATGAGCTAAAAATCCACAAAGCAAACCTGCTGCCTGTGATACTGGAGGACAGATACAGACCTAGGTGACTTTGACAATGCACCTGAATTCATGGTTGTTTCCCCACAGGGAAAAAGCAACCTGCTGGCAAGAACTAAAAATGTTTATTAAAAAGGTTTTTGTCCGATTGTTAACAGTAATATATGGGGACATTAGTAAGCATTTTGGAAAATGTGAAAAAAATATAATGAAAGAAAAAGTCCTTAATATGATAGTATAGTGTTGTATATGGGGAAATATATATTACTTTCTTCATTATACTTTCTGTCCAATTCTATGACTTGCCCTTTTCACTAAACTATTAAGCATTTCCCATGTTACAAGCATTGTGAGTGATTTCAACAGCTGCATAATATTCCGTGTCGTGACTGTACCAATAGTGACTTTAACACTTGTGTACGTTTAGGTGGATTTTGGTTTTGTTTCTCTTTAAATCCTCACCCAAGGACATTTTTTTCATTGCTTTCAGAGTGAGAGGAAGGGAGAAAGAGAAACACTGATGCAAGAGAAGCATCAATTGTTTGCCTCCCATATGCACCTGGACCAGGGACCAAACCTGCAACCTAGGCTCGTGCCCGACTGGGAATTAAACCAGGGATGGAACTTTCGGTTACAGGACAACCCTCTAACCAACAGAGCCACACTGGCCAGGGCTGGTTTTCGTGTTTTTAAAAAACTGTTTTGTGTGACTCACAACATTTTGTTGTGTTTCAAATTAACTCTCTAGGAGACAGTTATAGAATTATTGAGATAAGAGGCACAAAAACATTAAGATTCTTGATGTATTTATATTGCCAAAATACTATTGAAAATGTCATAGGAAGTTACAGTCCCACCCACAGGGTCTGAGAACGACTGGCAACACGATTCTAAACTATTCTGCCCCTTTTCAAATGCTGCGCGCGTGGACACTGGCAGGACAGGCAGGGAAGGCCTGGAGGTAGGAGATGAGGGACTCTGGGGCCATCAGGTCACCTGCCCGACCAGCATGCTAGAGCTCGGTGCTTTGTCACAGGAGGCCACAGGAGGCCGCAGGCTCCTATGGCTCTCAACAGTGCGCCCAGGGCAGGAGGGCGTGTTTCTGTGCAAATGCGAAAATCAGGGGTGATGCCAGGCTCGAAGGGGCTTCAATTTCGTGCTCTTAAAATAAGCAATAAAGTAAAGGATACAGACACTAAGAGAAAGAATTAAAAGAAAAAAAAAGAAAAGAAAAATTTAAAAAAGAGAAAGAGAAGTATATCAAGGAGACGTCTCTGCTGCCCTTTTTTACTACCTCAATAGCTCACATAGGCTTGAAGTGTTTAAGCCTACGAGCTTTCATTTTCTTTTTCAAAACAATGATCCTAGCAGGTCTGAATTATACTTTTTAGGGGTGGGGCAGACATAAAGGGTTATGTGTAAAAGTCCCCCCCTCTGCACCAAAAACTTAGAGCTGTTCATTTCATTTGCTTCCACCAACACAGGAGAAAAAAACTGTGTGGTTAGTAACTGCAGGGGGTCTTTTTAGGGGTCCAATGTGGAATTTGACCAAAGGTCTTTCAAAACAATGCACATACCTGTTTTTCTTCATGATATGCTCAAAGGGCCTCAGAAAATCTTTCTGGAAACGGAAGTTGGCTAATTCTCCCTTCTCTAGAAACTTCATGGATAGTTGCCTCAATGAGTCAACAGCAAAGATAGCCACATCTTCATTAGGGTTACAGCCAACCTGAGCAGGAACAGGAAGGGAGATGAAACAGGCACAGGGCAACAACTGTGGGTGTGGGGTTCTGACCTCAAAAATGGACACCCTGCCTTTAGAACAGGGGCTCTGGGAAAACACACCTAAGGAGGAAACAAAAGGTATCTCCTGGCTGTGACCTGCACGGATTTTGTTTTAAGGTTAATGATGAAAGCTCAGTATTGCACATTTAATTAGAAGTACTTTCAAAACGTGCTATGTAATTTGTTAAAAATTATGGCAAAATACAATGAACACAAAATGCACCACAATAACCATTTTAAGTGCACAGTTCAGTGTTAAAGACATTCACACTGCTGTGCAACCAATTTCCAGAACAATTTTCATTTTGCGAAACTGAAACTCCACACCCATTACATAATCCCCCATGTGCTATTTAATCTTATCCAAATATACAAAAAAGGTCAAAAGGCTTTAAGGCCTCTGTAAAGCCT